AGTGTTTCTCAACCTTGGGAACTTTAAGATGTGCGGACTTCAACTCCCAGAATTCCCCAGCTGGCTGGGGAATTCTGGGAGTTTGAAGTCTGCACATCTTAAGATTCCCAAGGTTGAGAAACACTGACTTAGGTCCATATGACATGGCTGGGGAAAAGCAGCCCATTTTTAAAAGGGTCCCTTATTTGGATGGACTCCGCTTTTGGTCTGTCATCATCAGTGGTATTAAAAGCTACGTACTGTTGGAGCCAATACGACGGGATAATCGGGAGGCAGTCTAGTGCCCTGGAGGGAAATCTCTATCATGACATCCACAGGACTTCATTCATGTTTCAGCCTAAGCTACTTACGCCATTACAAGGATAAAATGGGGAACAGGGGGGACAAAACACTGACATGCAGGAAAATCGCTGCATCCCTGGCATAAGGGGGATTGGAAATGTTAGTTCTCCAAGGCAAAGGAATAGGTGAATATTTCTGTGGCAGAAATGGTCCGCGGCTCTTTAGGAATTGCGCCCGTGTTTGCAAAACAGGGAAGGCCCGAGATATGCCGGCTGGCCAATGAGCTGAGGAAGATGCCAGCCAGGAGTTAGATTTTCCTGGGTGCCTAGAGGGTGCAATATATTCTCAGAACCAGAAAACGCAATCTGCAGGAAGTACAGGGAGTCCTTGTTGAGCAACCACAAGTGGGACCAGCAACTTGGTTGTTAAGTGAAGCCGTCGCTCAGTGAACCTGCGACTGTGCTTATAGTCTGACTTCAGCTTTCCTTTGCTTTACAGACCTGCGAAGGTCGTTGATGCCAGGATGGGTCGCAAAGTTGCTTTTCATCCCAGTGGTAACTGCGAATGGTCAGTAAACGAGACAATTGCTAAACAAGGACTACCTGTATGTCTGAATCCTGAACACAAGCAATCATTACACAAAAAGCAATCACCAGGGAAGGTCCCTTAGCTGTGCTTTACCCTTGCAATCCTCAAAGGCCTTTCCTTGGAACTAGGTACGACTGTCGCTTTGATAAATTCCGGCTGGAGTGGGTTGCGGGTGTCTGTCTGAAAGAAAATCTGGAAACTGAGCGCAGGGCCTCTTGGAGCAAGCATGGGCAATGAGAAGGATGGCCAAGAAGGAAAGGTTTGCAAAGGGTGGAAAGAAGCTGCTCGGCACCTGAATTGCCCCCGATGAACCTGCTTTGCTTCATCAGCCTCTTTCCCAAGCGCTTCCCAGTCCAATGGACTGGAGAGAAAATTCCCCAAGGAGAGGCTGAGGAACTGAGAGCAGCGGGCAGTGGCACATCCCTCTGGCATGCGGGACCTGTCAGCTTGCATTCCTCGGCTTCAGGCAGGCCACAGGCTGCTGGGGTGAGGAACCTGCCCTAGCAAATCCCGCACCAGGAGGAAGGTGAACGTGCGCTTCGATACCTAGGAAATCCTAGACGTGCTGCATTCCACCAAAGTAAAAACAAAGCACGGGCACGCACGATCTGGGTCATCCTCCGCAGTTATCTCTTGCGGGCCTTTAAAAAGTTCACCTCTGGCAGCGCAGGGTTGGTACCCCGTCCTACCTGGAGGGCCCAGATCTGCTTTGCCACCACAGACCTCTTGTATGGGGTAATCCGGGAGCACGTTTTGCTCGCCTGGGGCCAAAAGCAGCCGGGCCCTCTCATTCCAAATGCCCTGTGTGCCACCCGCATACAGAATACAGGCTCAAAGGTTAAAGGCAGTGTTTTTCGACCTTGGCCACTTTAAGATGTGTGGACTTCAGCTCCCAGAATTCCCCAGCCAGCATGCTGGGAGTTGAAGTCCACACACCTTAGGGTTGCCAAGGTTGAAAAACACTGGTTAAAGGGCTGCAGAAATTACTCCCTATTCCCTGCTTCCGCATCATGATCACGTGGGGACCCATCCACACCCTTGCTCACCCGCCCGCCCACCCACCCAAGGGTGAGGCATTGCCTTTTCCAGCAAATAAAGGCTTTGAGTGTGTAGGAGGCTTCCTTGGGTACACAGAAGCGTGACAGCCATCTGTCAAGATGTCTCTGTTCAGAGGA